CTAGACCAGCCTGCGAGGGGCCACACAGAGACCCCTCTTGGTGCTCGCTCTATGATGATTTGCCCCTGAGAGGCGACTCTGCTAGGACTACCATCTCACGGAATACTCCTAACAACCTTGAAAGACAGGCATTCTTATTTCCCCCATTTAAGAGATGAGAACTCTGAGACCCAGAGGAGGTAAAATGAGTCGTTTGTGGTTATCAAGCTGTGTAGTCGAGATTAAGACTATATCTGCCTGACTTCAGACTTAATCACCACACAGTGCATATTCTTGTTTTGTTTTTTTACTTCTTGTAAGTGGTGATGTAGTTCACAGAGACAAAAAATGTAGTAAAAATCATACTTAGGTCTTTGTTCCAGATGGAACTTAAAGAACTTCTTGTTGCTTTCAATCAAGCATAAAGACAGTGCAGCTCCCAGCATAATGATAGCAGGCCTCCAGGCATACTCCACTCCTGCAGAAAATGAGTCCTCCCTTGAGGCACAGGAGTGGATGTGTTCTTCTTCTTTAAACAGGGTTCCCTGTGCTGCCAGCTGTTAAAGCCCACTTGGCATTGGTATAGTCGTAGTCATTTGCTTCCTCTCAAACAACAGAACCAGTAATAGTTCATGCTTTGCACATTTTCTCTTGATCTGGAACTAATAATTATTGGGCATTTCAAGCACCACAACACACATGGCCTTGGGTTAATGCAGATATGACATGTTCATAGAAATAGAAGTATTTTTTTTTATGATCAGAATATTACAAGTAGACCAGTAATGTACTCAAGTCTCCATCAGTTATTGGAAAAAGTTTAAGTGTGGTTTGGTGCAAATATCATGTGCTATTTTTCAAACCATCATAGAATGTATAATAAAAATATGTCATTTATTTTTATGTATAGTAAAGCCCTGGTAGTGGATTACAAAGTGCTAGGTCAGCAGTTCGAATCTACCAGCCTTGCCACAGGAGAAAGATGAGGCTTTCTGCTCCTGTAAAGATTTATAGCCTCAGAAACCCTATATGCAGTCGCTATGAGCCAGAACTGACTCCAGCACACACCACCACCATAGTGTAATCCCAGCCATTCACCACTCAAGAAGCACATTTTTAGTCAGGAAATATTTTTGGCATGAGACTCTTTGTTGTTGTTGCTGTTAAGTGCTGTCGAGTCAGTTCTGACTTACAGCAACCCTGTAAAATGCTTTCAAACAACAATTGAACTGCCAACCTTTCAGTTACCCTATGGTTAATTTCCCTTTAAGCAACACACAGGCTATTGAGTTATAAGCAGCTGCTGTTTATTTATTGATTTATTCTTTCAGGTAGCAAATATGTGCCAACTCACTGCCAGATTGTGTAGCAGGCAATGGAGTTACCATGGTGAGCAGGACAATTTCTTCATCCTCAAGAAATTCACAGAACAGGAGCAATCTTAACCACGATAAGTGCTGTGAAGCTGAAGTGCAGGGTGCAGTGAGATGGGTGGGGTAAGGGAAGGCAATGGGTGTACAAGAAAAGAAAACAGTGTGCCTGGGTTCTAAGGCTGGAAAGGTCGTCTCCCTAGAGGAACTGAGAGTTAGAACTTACAAGACTAAGCCAAGCACCGACAAGAAATAAAGTAACTCAATTCTTTTGGTGTTTATTTTAAAGTCAGCACATTTGTTATGTGCTGGAGTTGGTTTCAACTCATAGTGAGCCTATGCATAACAGAACGAAGCACTGCCTGCGGTCCTGTGCCATCCTCACAAACATTATTATGTTTGAGCAGGAAAGTAGTAAAATCAGAATGTGTGGTTTTCAAAGTTCATTTTGGTTGTGTATGGAGAAGGATGAGGGAGAGCTGAGAGTGGAGGAAAGAAGGCTAGAAGGTTGTTGTAGTGTTCCAAGAGAATGGTGATGATCATTTGGACTAGACTAGCAGGAGAGTTAGAAAAAAGTAGATGGGTTTGAGAACTATTTAAAAATAAGGTTGATGGCAATAGACTACTGAGTTGAGATGTGTGGGTGAAGAAGTGAGAAGTCCAGCCAGTCTGCTGGCTTGGAAAGCAGAGTGGACAAGTATGTCACTCACAGAACTGGATCCAGTCATACGGGACAAGACCAAGAGTTCTGTTTGGATGTGTGGGGTTGGAGGGCCTGTAAGGTATTCATCATTTGTAGATGTGAAAGTCAGGATTTATTAATATAAATTCTAGGGAACAGTTAAAGTCTGATGGAGCAGCAGTGGCAGAATGAAGGCTGTAGTTAAAACAATAAGCACAGAGGGAGACATCCCACTAAGAGAAGAAGGTGAAGGAAACATGGGTCCTGGCACCTTTAGGTTAGGTGATTTCCTAAGGAAGTAGTAGTCTAAAAGGCTGAGGGCAGTTGGTGATGTAAGGCTGAAGCTTAAGAGAAAGGCCTGGGCTATATAGGGTTGCATATAGAGGACAGTAGAAACCAGGGGGGAATCTTTTCGTGGCACTGTAAGATAAGCACTGGACTGCTAACTATGAGGTTGGTGGTTCAAACCCACCAGATGCTCCTTGGAAACCCTATAACAGGATCGCTACGAGTCGGAACTGACTTGACAGTATGCAATAACAACAACAGAAACCATGGTGATGGAGAAGATAGCCTAGGGAGTTTAGACTCTTTTGCATTTATAGCATTGCCTCCAATAAAAGATAGGGTTAGAAACGTCATTAGTAGAGGTAGAAATAATCTGAAAGATAATGATTTCCAAAGAAGAAGAAAGAGCAGAGTGAAATGGAGGGACTAGGTTTAAGTCAAAAGTGGGCATGATCATGGGACAATTCAGTCAATTGGCATACTCAGTTCATAAACTTCATGTCCTGAATTCTAGTTTAGTGAGCAGTGTCTGTGGTCTTAATAGTTTGTAAGTGGCCTTCTAAGATCCAACTACAGGTCTCTTCTTATATGGAAAAAAGGAAAAAGAAGAAAACCAAAGACTCAAGAAGAAACTAGTCTACAGGACTAGCATTCTATGAACCACAACCTGAGATCAGAAGAACTAAATGGTGCCCAGCTACCAATTGTTCTGATCAGTCTCCCAATGGATAGATCCTGATAGTTGGTGGTGTGAAGTGCCTTGGAAGGGTGGGTAGATGGATGAAAGAAAATCTTTCTTATTTCTACAGCAATATTTTTCGCATAAATATGTGGTGTTTGTCTTAAGCAAAGCACTCTACCAGTAATGATGAAGGAGCCACTCTGGGCTTCTTAGGTGACAAATTCCTTTGTTGTGATGACCAGGAATGGCTCTGTTGACTTCACCTCTGGTTTTCCCAGCTCCATTTCCTTATGCTTAAAGTGGTGGTCAGTGGTTCAAACCACCAGCCTCTCTTTGGAAACCCTATAGAGGGTCGTAATGAGTCAACGAACTTGGTGGCACTTAACAACAACAAAGTGGAAACAGTTATTTAAAAGATACACTATTCTCATTTCAGGCCTGCCCTTAAGCCTCATTTAAGAAGACCTGGTAGCATAGTGAATTATGAGCTGGCCTGCTAACCGCAATGTCAATCATTCAATTCTTCCAGCTGCTCCGCGTGAGAAAGATGAGGCTTTCTGCTCCCGTAAAGATTTACAGCCTTGGAAACCCTATACATAGGGTTGCTATGAGTTGGAACCAACTCTATGATACACAACCACCACAACCATCTCCAGCCTCATTTGTTGTTGTTGTTATTGTTAAGTTCCATAGAGTCGGTTCAACTCATAGCGACCCTGTATTGGGTTTCCAAGGAGTGACTGATGAGCTTGAACTGCTGACCTTGTGGTCCAGCACATTAACCAGGACTCCTGTTAAGTGCCTTCCAGTTAGTTCCGACTCATAGCAACCCTGTGTAGTGGTTCTAAGGAGCAGCTGGTGAGTTTGACCTACCTTCTGTTGACTTTGCAGTTCAAACCAACCTCGTGGTTGTGTGCTTATCCTACAGTGCCATACCATTTAGCTGTGACCAATAAAGGAAAAACAATCTTTTCCAATCTTCTGCAACCTTTTTAGAATATGTTAGAAAGAAAGATCTATATTGCTTTTCATTGTATGGACTGCCATAGCATCAACCAAAGGCTACATAGCAGACTTCCAGAGAGTATGCTGTGATCTGGATATTTGGTGACGTAATAAGCTTGAGCTCTGGTAGGGTAGTGGTTACGAATCGGGCTGTGAACCGCAAAGTCAGAAGTTTGAAACTACCAGCTGCTCCGTGGGAGAAAGATGAGGCTTTCTGCTCCCGTAAAGATTTAAAGCCTCAGAATTCCTGTTCAGGGTCGCTATGGGTTGGAACCGACTTGAAGGCACTTAACAACAACAAGCTTGAGAAGTTTATGACACATCACAGAGGTTTGGGCTATTCTCTTCAAATGTTTTCTCCTTCCCCAACTCAGCTTAGGGCTTCAGATACTGAATGACAGCTGTAATGTTATGAAATCTTTATTATTCAAAAAATAAATAACAAGATAATCACGAGTTCACTCTGGAAACAACAGAGACTGCAAAATAGATTTCCTTAAATACAACCACTTCATGATGAGTGGGCAGGGTTCAGAACTGCTTTCCCTGCCCTTCCCCATCAACATAGGTGAAGATAGGGACAGGGTTGAAATTAGATAACTGATTAGCAACTGCCTGACTTTGTGTGTGTGTGTGTGTGTGTGTGTGTGTGTGTATTAAAGAGAAGTGACTGAGAGTCAGGGTATGTGGTAGAACCAGGGTTTTTCAGTTCTCCATTGTGTTGGACTTTCTAGAGCCTGGTTCTAGAAGCTGAGGCTTCTCCTCATTTCCTTTCCACATCTCCACTGATAATCAAATACATGATCCACTGGAAGACATTGTACACAAAAGAAACATAATTAAACCGGGTGAATTATCTGCTGTTTGCTTGGCATTCACTCTGTGCATGTTGATTTTCTCTTTTCTTAGAACTCTCTGGATGTCTGCATCCATGAGATTTCTGCCTCTGAATATAAGCTCTATGGAGCAGGGCCTGATTTGGTTCCTCCCACCCTGTAATTCACTTATTACAGCCCTACATGCTTGGGGTGCATAATAAATAGTTCTCCCTTAGGAGGATCCTAGGGTTATAAATAGGCAGTTCAACAGGGGGTGGTGGTCTTAACTGCTTTGCTGTATTATGAAGATTGCCTGAGTCAGCTCAGCCGCAGTTGGGGAAGTTCCACTGTTCAGAGTTTGAGTAGACCGAAAGATGTGAAGCCAGTTCCATGGCTCACTTGGCTTGGATCAGTCACGTTGACAAATAGTGAAGCATCTCGTTGTAATTCAAAAACTCCTCCCAAGTGGATGGATTGTTGCACGCAAGGTTTGGAGTTGCTGTGGGTACTTGCTGCTCTGAGTAAGATTCTCTCAGATTCAGTTGGGGACTTCAGGCAGAGGCTGGCTACAAATGGCATTTGTCTCGGTGCTTCCCGATTGGAACAGAAGGTGACTTGGGCATAGATGTAATAGAGTCCTGGTCTTTGAACAGTCAGCTGCTTCTTATATTTGAGTTCTACCAGGTTGGTGCTCATGGTGTAGTATCCTTTTTCAGCCCACTGTAGAACTGTAATGGAGAAGGGATAAATTCATGGTGAGGTGAAGTCTAGCATGGTTCATATTCTAGTAGGAAATATAGTTACTGGTGGGATACTGGCTCCATATACAAATAGAAGGTCTAGGTGTCAGGAGTTCAGCAATACCCTCCCAGCCCTCACCATCTAGAGAGTAACTCTGGCTAACAAATAAGCATGGATTTTAGAGTCAGATGGAACCTGGTTCCACTTAAGTCTTCCTTCAAGCTTGGGCAACTCACTAAGCCTCCTTGAACCTCAGTTCCTCATCTGCACCAAACAACAAACAAACAAACAAATAACACCCAAGCCAGTTATTGTTGAGTTGATTTTGAATCTTGGTCACCCAATGTGTTTCAGAGTAGAAACACACTCCATTGGATTTTCAATGTCTGAATTTTGGGAAGTAGATTTCCAGATCTTTTTTCTGAGATGCCCCTTATGCCTAGCTCTGGTAGCGTAGTGGTTACGAATCGGGCTGCGAACCTTAAGGTCAGCGGTTCGAAACTACCAGCCACTCCGCGGGAGAAAGATGAGGCTTTCTACTCCCATAAGGATTTACACCCTCGGAAACCCTGTACAGGGTCGCTATGGGTCGGAACCGACTCGACGGCACTTAACAACAACAACAACAACCTTAGAGTTAGTAGCTGAGTGCTTTACCATTTGCACCTTCCAGGGATGACTCCTTATCTGTAACATGGGACTAGGCCTATCATTGAGACTTGTGGTGGTGGTGGTGATGTGCCTTGGAGTTGGAACCGACTCATACCAACCCTGTACAGGATTTCCGAGGCTGTAAATCTTTACAGGAGCAGAAAGCCTCATCTTTCTCCCGCGGAAGTGAATATTAAATAAAGTAGCATGGAGCCCCATGAATTTTTCGTTCCCACAAAGAATTCGGTTTTGCTTTAGGCAAATCTGCCTCAAAAGACCACTTTAAAGTGTTAAAGAGTAAAAGATGTCACTTTGAGGACTAAGGTGCATGTGACAAAAGTCATGATATTTTCAATCATTTCATATGAATGTGAAATCTGGACAGTGAATCAACAATACTAGAGAATTAATGCATTTAAATTACGATGTTGGTGAAGAATGTTGGAATATAATCCTGGTGTGGCACTGCAGGATAAACACTGGACCATAAGGTCAGTTTGAGCCTCAAGGCTGGCAGTTCAAACTCACCAACCACTCCTCAGCAACCCCATGCAGGTTCATTATGAGTCAGAACTGACTCCACAGCATTTAACAACAACAACCAGAAGAACAAACAAATCAGTGTTGGGACAAGTATAAGTGGAAAACATGAGACTTTATCTCTCATACTTTTAACAAGTTGGCAGGAGGGACTAGTCCTTGGAGTTGGACACCATGCTTGGTAAAGGGCTGGGCCAGTGAAAAAGAGGAAGACCCTCAACAAGATGGATTGCCAGAGTGGCAGTCACAATGGCCTCAGACAGAAGCAGGACCAGGTAGTGTTTCGTTCTGTTGTGTATAGGGTTGTTCTGAGTCAGAACCAACTCAATGGCACATAACAACAATAGCAACACTAAAGCCAATTTGTCCTTGAATTTAACAAAGTGACAATGATTTCAAAATTCGTCACCATAATTTACACATGCCAAATTAGACAAAATTAGACAAAAATGCTTGCCTTGGTAATAGTTGCCAGTCCACCTAGCTCAGCCTCAGCATAGAGAAAATGAAAGACCCCGTTTCTTGCTAGTGATCCTTCTGTCAAAAACCTGATCTGCCTCCCCCAGCAACGACTAAAATTAGACCAGGAAGTATGAAAAGAAACCTGTCACTTCACTTTGTGTTTTGATCTTCCATTGTAGTGGGCGCCACCAACGTGAAAGTGTCTGTATTCTTGTGGCTAAGCTGAGTACCCACCAACAGTGTGCCATTTTCTCAACTGAGATGGTGAGTGGGTTCAAAGTGGTGTGTGCACCCGATGTCAAATCTCAGCTTCCACAGAGGTCTATGACAATGGTTGTGGGGGTTGGGGAGAGGTAAAAGTGTATTGATGCAGATGCTTCCTAGAGCCATTTTTTATTCCCACTTGGTGGTCTTAGGCTTATAATGTAAAATTCTACCTATTAAGATGCATTCTGTAGGAATTTTAGGGGTCCCCAGGCCACTTGGAAATGCTAGTATAGTCATGATGTTCTCCCAGAAGTGTATTTTCTGAGAAAAGGTTATTTCACAGACTTACTAGATGTCATGGGTATTATTGATATCAACGAGAAGCTTCATGTCATTCTTTTGACATATAGACCACATTGGTATAACACTTGACAACTTAGCTGTCTGCCACATTAGCTGAATTGATGCTCAGCGCAACCCTGAATTAGGTGAGGCAGGTTAACTCTGTGTAAGTAAACAAGTGTTAGCCATGGGTCTTGAACCTCAGTGTTCCAAAACTTCCTAACCAGTGCTCATATGCCCATCCCTTGACTTTGTATGTGTTTTGCCCACTGAGAAGTCCAAGCTCTCTAGGATGAGGTGGTATCTTGCATTCTGTCTTTCTCTCTTTAGAATTCCTTTTCAGGACACTTGGCTGGATTTTTTAAAGATTACCCTGATGCTTCAAACTACTTTTATGTTGATGGGGGATTTTATGCAAGCATGTATGTTTCCATCCATTTATCAGATAGAACATATTCTCCAACACCAGCTATTTCAAGGTACAGATTTGGGGAAAACATCTAAGGGACAGAATGATGGCAGAACATGTATGGAAATCCAATCATTCAAAGTTTAAAAGATCACACACAGTATGTCATCTGCTGTTACTTCATTGGAAAATCTAACATCCTGGTGCCCATTGATCTGTGCAGAATGATTTTACCTTTAATTTCCCTGAGGTCAGCTGCTGGGAGGCTAGAGTTAATCATATTGGGATAGACAGATGACAGGCAATTCCACACCCCAGGCCCATTTACACACAGATAAAGAGAGGTTATGTGGCTTTGTAGGATAAGCACTCTACTGTTAACCACAAGGTTGATGGTTCAAACCCAATAGCTGTTCCTTGGAAACCCTGTATAGGGTTGCTATGAGTCGGAACCAACTCAATACCTCTTAACAACAACAACAACAGAGAGGTGAGGAGGAGGGATGTTTTCACTCCCTGTCACTCATTCAGTATTGTCAAAGTAATGGTCCCTCCACCCAGTAATTTCATCATTTAGAATCAGCCATTGAGCAAGAATATAATCAGAACTTGGAAACTGCTTTCCGCCTCCTTATGTCCCTAAAGTCCCATCTGGTCATTTCAGCTCACTTTGAAGGCAGAGGAGAGCATATGGAAAGTGTATGGGGAGACTTGCAAATTGGGGCCCAGAGGAAAAGAGAAATCTAAGCTGCATTGCTTCAGCATCCCAGCATTCCCCCTTGGGTGGGTGACACTCAGAATGTTGTGGGACTTACCAGATGTTTTACTACTGGCATCACTTATGACATGGGCTGCAATTTGAGGCTCTTGATCACCTGAAATGAAGCCAAAAGCAAACTTTCACACCAAAATAATTCAAAACTGCCCATAGACCTATTTGTCCAGGTCTTATGACAATGAGCTAGAGACTGTACTTGAATAGACTCCATGAAAAGGAGAATACAATGGTCTGGAATCACTCCCATTAAGGGAAAAATCTCTTTCTAGCAGATTTTATTCCAGTTTTTGAGGTTTGTTTTATTACCCAGTAGTTTTTAAGCAGAGTATTTTTAAATTTCCATGTTGTTTTTTCTTGATCTTCCTATTGTTGATTTCTAATTTTATAGCATTGTGATCTGACAAGATGCTCTGCAGTATAGTATTTCAATGTTTTAAAATTTATTGAGGTTTGGTTTGTGACATAACATATGATCTCTTCTGAAAAATAGTCCGTATGTACTAGAGAAGAATGTATATTGTACTATTGTTGGGCTGAGTGCTCCGTATGTCTTTGAAGTCAAGTTGGTAGATTGTGTTATTTAGTCTTTCTGTGCTTTTGCTAAGTTTCTTTTTAGTTATTCTTCTAAGAGATTTTAATAATTGAATTGGGTGTTTTCATTGATCCCATTCTCTTAATAATTGTTCAGTACTCAGTGTCAGTTAACCTAGATAGACACAAGCCCAAACACTGGTTTTCATTCAACTTATCATGGATTTAGTTTTTGGAACAACTCCCATACATTGGACATCTTAGTGAACCCCCAAGGTCCTGTTGACACAGTTAGCTAGTAAAATGCTTGTGATGTCTGACTGAAGCAACCAGTCAAATATGTCTCAAATTGTTTTTTATGTAAATTTTTTTTTTTATGTAAAAGCCTTGCTTCCTAATCACATGTGCCCAATTCCAAAGGGCAGAGAGATGTGGAAGCTTATCTTTTTTTTTTTTTTTCCATCTGTGATCCCAGTGCTGGACACTTTGTAGGTACCCTTTAAATGTTGAGTCAAATCATTTAACCTAAATTACCAGCTTGTTTAAATTAATCACTTTTTGAAGCCTGCTATTCAGCCTTCCCATGAACTGTTTCCTTAAATTTCACTGTAATTAACAGACAACATGTATCTTGCAGTTAGTCATTTTGAAGATAAAACCTTCATGGAAATCAGTAACATCCAGATCAATAGTTAAGACAACCTCTGAGCACTTTGTTTGCTTTAGAAGCAGTATTTGTAGCCCTGTATGTATCTCTCTCTGTTGAATTTGCAAAAGCCATCGCAACATGTTCACTCATTCTATGAGACAACAGTCTCGCTACCAACACACCTTTAATCATCACTACACCTTCTCCATACTCTGCTACTTTAGAAATAATTGTGTTTGGTTTGGAACACTACATTCAAACAGGAAGAGAGAAAGGTTAGGGTGGCCAGTAATGAAGACAATTAGGAGAGGTATGGTCTGAGAAGTGTTGTAGGAGGAACAGTGGGAGTACATTGGGGATGTTTAGCCTGGGGAATAAAATGCTCAGGGGACCATGATTGCTAACTTAAATACCTGCTTTATAGGAGAAGAATGATTGTTTGCTATGGACCCAAAGAGCAGAACTAGGTCCAACAAATGGAGATTACAGGCAGGCCCATTTTGGTTCAAGAGAAGGAAACGCTTCTCTTGAGCAGTACCTTTTTTAGAGCTATTCATCGATGGGCTAACTTATGCATCCTTAGAAATGCACAGTCAGAGCTTTTGGAATCAGTGCTTTTGGAAAGGAGACTGGAGTTCTGGGGATGGTGCTGGATTTGAAACCTCTCCAGGACCCTTTTAGCCCTGAGATGTTTGGGATTCTATTATTTAAGAAGAGAGTCAAGAACATTGTCATATGCATCACCCCTTCATTCCAGAGGCTCCACCCGGCCATTGTTCCTTATGAGAAACTGTTGCCATTGGGCAGTGATTACAACAGCTACCAAATGATGACTTTTCTATCATCTTTTTTTTTTTTTCCTCCTTAGCTGGTACCAGGCTTTGTATGGTGGCTTTGATTAAAGTATTACAAATAATGGAATTTCTTCATGTTTGGTATTGTCAGCATTAAAGAAGGAAAGCCTTCCTCTTAAATATGTACACACGAAGCCTTTCCAAGCCACAGGGACCAGAGAAGGTGTCAGTTTGGTCACCAAGTTCCTGTTTTCTTTCCAGAGCAAAAAATTTGCAGATTCCACACTGGATTGTTCAGTATAATCAATCTAAATTTCCTTTTAGTTTGTAAGCATTCATAGAAACCGGTAAATGGCAGCTTACCTTTTTGCATTTCAAAAGTTTTTTCTTTCTTGTTTGCCTCTTCATTTCGTATTATTTTCTAAAATAAGAATCGTTGTAAAAGGTCATTTAGGCAGGGACTCTACTGTAGGATTTGATAGTTATTCTTCATTTGGCATCTGTCATAGCTCTGCTTTTGAGGATTATCAGACAGACTTAGATCTTGTCATTAATTTCATCATACCAATTGGAAGCCCACATCTCTGACAGATGAGCTGACAGACCAGAAAACCTAGGGCTGAATTCAGAAGAAGAATCTTGGCCTTATTATTTTTATTCCAGTACTTTCTCCAGACCAGAGAGTGTGATGCTGACCCCTTCTGTGACCCCCAACTTCCCTGTTTTTGACAAATATTGACACAGAATACTGAATGGGGAGGTGCTTCTATTCTGAGACTTCATATACAGAATGTTCTGAAACATAAAGCATTATGTTGTATCTATTAGGATAAAATTACTTTAAAATCTTTTAGGAAAAGATTCAGCCTTGGGAGAGAAAACCCAGACCATGAAAAGACATTCTAAAATTTTGACATTTGTCCCTTTTAATGAACTAAAGAGAATCTTAGTTATTGCTACTTGCCCTGAATGGCCTGTATTTATTTCTTTTAAAAAGAATAATCAGCACTTAGGAAACACAGGTCGTATACGTACACGTCTGCTGTTCAAAGGCAATCGTTACATTTCCTAAACCGTTTCTTCTCACCAACTGAAGGAAGGCTAGAGATTCTTAAAGATGTTAACAAGGACCGCTATCACCACAGGTTAGAAGGTAATGAAGGCTATTCCTGCCATTTTAAAGACACTGAATCAAAGAACTAGAAGGCTTAACTGATATGACGTGGTACAAACAGCTAATGCATTCAGCTGCTAACCAAAGGGTTGGGGGTTTGAGTCCATCTAGAGGCACCTTGGAAGAAAATCCTAGCAATCTACTTTTAAAGACCCAGCCATGGCAAACTCTGTAGATTACAATTATCCTCTGACACACACGGGGTCACCATGAGTCAGAGTTGACGAAATAGCAACTGGAAACATTTGAAAATGAGGTCACTCCAGGAGCCTGAGGCTGAAGCCAAGAATAGAAACTACTAGATCACATTCATAGGTTAGCCTCAACTCACTCCATCACTCTATATTCTGAACTGAAGGAAAGAAGATAGTAGCATTTTCATATGTTCAGATGATCAAAGTCCTTATGTTCCTTCTCATGACTGGAGCCCATTGTGCTCAGAGCCCATTGTCCTCCTTTTCATTCCTTCGCTAGGTGGAATTTCTGTTGTTCCCATTGAGCGTATTGTGGTAGGCTCAGCTCAGTTGCCAGATGGGAGGGTGTAAGGCAAGAGCCCAAAGGGGAACCTGCACCCTGAAATGCTCACATGGGCCACAGAATCTCAACTTTCCATTTGAGCTGTGAAAATGCGGCGACAGGAAAATGTTGTGAGATAAGTAAACAAATGACTATTTTATGTATGTTCAAAAAATGGAGTGTGATGATCGAGGTTGAGATACTTTTAGGTTAGGTGAGTGCATTGGTGTCAGGCCCTGGTCGAGATGAAAATGTGAAGTCAGCAAAGTTTCCTTTTATGTGCCCAACTTTGCCTTTCTGTGAACTTTCCCCCAGCCACACTTCCCAGGGCCTTTTTTGTTTGTTTGTTTGAGGTACTCCGCATCTCAACTGAAAGACTGTTTTAAAAGCTGGACTCAGAAAATCTGGGCTTTCTCTAGTAATGGGAATTCTATATGGCAGGAAATATGACCCTATCTCTCAAGGGAATCAAAGGTCGATCACAGAACTGATCATTGTGACAGCATTCTGCAAAATGCTGTCTCTGCTTCCCCTAACATAATCCTTGAGTACCATCTTCCCTGAGACTAACATCTTGGTGTTTCCTGCCTCAGAGAGGAATGAGTTATTTGTCATTGTTGTTGTTGTTGTTGTTCAGTGTTGTTGAGTCAATTCTCACTCATAGTGACCTGTATAGGGTTTCTGAGGAGTGGCTGGTGAGTTTGAACCACTGCCCTTGTCACTAGAGGTATTCAAACAGGAGCAATGAGGAGAAGACTGAAGGTCTGGATTGAGAATGGAATTTGATGATTTCTAAGATCCACTAAGATCCCTATGATTGGAAGCCTCAAATGTCAAACTTCAGGTTGCTCAGAAAGAAACACTGTTAACATTTGCTAAGAAAGTAAAAACCCAACCAGGGGTTATCCTGTAACTGCTTTGTTGGGTAAAACAAAGAAATAAAGAAAGGAAGGTCAAACTATTGGTTTGGAATGAGCAATATTGGGGAATGTATAATGGAAAGGGAGTCAGTGGTTACAGGTGGATTGGGTAACTTGAGGGCTTTGTATCTAACAATCGTGGATGTCATAGGTACAGATGGCATTGACTGATGTACCACACCTGCTGCAGTAAAGACTAGGGGCCCCTTCTATTACATGGAAGGAGAAGACCACCCAGACCGAGGCTGGCATGTCTGAGGCATACCCTTATAGAATATGAAACTTTAAAGCTAACCCAGCTGTTTTCCTTTCTCTAGTTATATGTAGCTGACTCTGGAAGTTTTACATCTCCAACATGAAATCAAGACATGAAGAATTCACAGTTCAACTGTCAAAATTTCAAAAAGAAAGAGAGAGGGAGGAAATAAAATAGCAGTAATTGTTCTCACTGTCATTGGAGGGAACTGAAGGCTGGTCACACCATTATAGAATGTCAGAGCTGGCAGTGCCTTCGCAGATAATCTCAACCTTCTCATTTCGTAAATGAGCTAACTGAGGCCCAATGAGATTAAGTCATTTTCCAAGCTCACACAGTCATACACGTTACATTCAATATGTTCTTTGGATCGTTAACTACTCATTTAACAATGGCTTTATTTGCATTTAAATAAATGCACAATTCCTCTCAATACCTATCATACTGGCCAGACTCCTCAAAGAGCCAGAGACACTCAAATCTTTCCCAAGGCTGGGTAGAACCTGAGGATCAATGGAAGATTAGAACTGCATTTGAATCCCTGGATTAATTAACTCAGGAATAACCTCTTAGAATCTTCACCACTGGGTTAAATTGCATATCGGTGACAGTACAGAAAGAAAGAGATGAGCTCAGGAATAAGATTTAAAGCTCTTGACGCATGTATTAAATCATGCATCATCTATACATGAGACCTAATGTCTGTTGGTTGATCCAGATACACACCCAGCAGTCACAGAGCTGTGTTTGACTTGAACTACTATCTCCGAGTCTACCCCTCAAAAAAAACTGAGGGACAAGACTATTTGATTCATTGTCCTGAGACGAAAAAAGGCAGAAAGAATTCTCAAAGTTCTGACTAAGAAGAAGGAAGCCCTAGACCCCATGTCTGTGATGAGGTAATGAATGTTGTAGGTGTATTCCTCAGAAAAGATATTACAGAATTGTTGTTTTAGGTACCCATTATGAAATACAACTACAGCAGTGACTTTGAAGGCTAGAAGGCTTTGAACTTGCTCTGCCTCAAGTCATGGTTGGCCCTAGAGGGGATTGGCTTCATGAACAAGGGTATAATGTAGAATATTATTTGATCAGAATGAGAAGGTCTACCACCCATTCCCTACAATCTTCCCCACAATAAAAAGAGATAAAAAAATCTCACTTTCATGGCACCTGAAATTCCATCACTAGAGAAGCATTGCTTATCAGTCTTCAGGAGTTCCCACTACTCTCAGTAAAGACAATACCAAAGCTGTAGTTGTCGACGGTTATTGCTTCTTTGGGAAATGGGGACTAGATCATGGGTCCACAGTGGGAAGGTATAGAGGTTTGGATGAGGAGATAAAGAAATACAAAACCCAAGTTGGGTGTACTTCGTAGTTTTGCCAAGCAGCAACTACATGCATGAGCATGTGTATGTGTGAATGGTTTCATGATAATCTGTGTCTTTTTCCCAAAGAGCCTTTTTGTTCTGATCAAGTAGGAATGTGCCGACTTCCAACTTTCCTTTCCTTTCCCTTTCAACATAGCATTTTGGCTACACACACACACACGTATATTAAAAATGTTTAAACTTTTACATGGTCAGATTTCAGTTTTCTGACCTAGCATATCCAGTAGAAGTTATCACTGACACTTTTACCAACAACTTATCTTCTTACCTTGACGATGTCTTCCAACTGGCTTTTAATTTCCTCACAGTTCAGTAAGGATAAAGATCCCTTTCCTTTGCTGCATTTCTGTATCTTTTTTATGAACACATAATCTTCATGAAGATTCATTTCATCTTCTATCTATTTGTGAAATAACGGGGATATGAGAGGGAGAATGTGACTATGGCATCTGCCTCTACATTCACTTCTATGGCATATGAGAACTTTGGGTGAGAGTCTGAATGGGAAATACCAAGCTGTTATGCTGGATAACTACTATTTGTTATTTGCAGCTTAAAAAAATCTGCAAAAGTAAAAAATTAAAACCACATATCTGAAACTCAAGGTAAAATCACAGTTATTCTAATAAAATTTCATCCCAATGTCTGTGTGTGTGTGTGTGTGTGTGTGTGTATATATATATACATATATATCAATGATGGCATTTAACAATGACAATAACATAGTAGCAATATTCTATAATTGTCATATCTACCAATGCTCCAGTAATGATTGCTCATTATATACAATATGCTGTTGTTTAGTGCTGTCGAGTCGGTTCCGACACATATCAACTCTGTATAGGGTTTCCAAGGAGCAGCTGGTAGGCTTGAACTGCCAATCTTGTGGTTCGCAGTCCAATGCTGATCCTACAGCACCACACAAGGATACTTTTCTGTGGAGTTAATCTGTCCCGTTTACTTTCATGTTTGTGATGCAGTGCTTGGTAAAAGGACGTTAATCTGTAATGTGTGTCAATTAACTCAAGTTCTAATTTCATCTATCTCTCCTTTACCTTTATTATGTATAGAGAACATTTGCATTTTTAAAAGAAATCATCGCTGAAATTAACAAGATGTTTTATTTTCCTATGTTTTAGAACAATTAAATACGTTCATTTGTATAATCAAGTAATTCTGTATAATTTTCTTATTTTAATATTAGCGTTTTAGATTCAAAACAAAATGCAATTAGCGGGTGATTTCAACACAAAATCACTCTCACTAAGACTACATGTAATCGGAGAATTTATCTCTGTGGTCAATATGTCTCTAAAGAGGCTAGGCTGATGTTCAGGCCTTTTATTGACAGAGACCACCAGGCCAAAGGCAAACAACCAGATCCAGATCCCCACCCCCTCTTTTCTCAACAATAAAATGTAAAATCGGAGCAACCCAGTTTATCCTGACAGAAAATCTTAGGATCTTATTTTTCGCTTGCAACACGGGAGAAAGGCAAGGCTTTCTGCTCCAGTAAAGCGTTACAGCCACGGAAGCCCTATGCAAAGGCACTCTGGTGGCGCAGTGGTTAAGCGTTCAGCTGCCAACTGAAAGGTTAACAATTTGAAAGCACCATCCGCTCAAAGGGAAAAAGATGAGGCAGTCAGCTTCCATAAATATTGTGGTTGTTGTTAAGTGCCGTTGAGTCGGTTCCAACTCATAGCGACCCTTCATAGGATTTCTGAGGAGGAGCGGCTGTGAGAAGATTACAACCTTGGAAACTCTGTGAGGCAGTTCTACTCTGCTCTATAGGGTTGCTGCCAGGTGGAATTGACTCCAGCTGCCGCTCGTCGGAAATCCTATACAGGGTTGCTAAGAGTCGGAACCGACTTGATGGCACTTAACAAGTCGTGTAACTTAATTTAAATCTTTTTGTTGCCCACCCACAGTGCCTGATAACTGCTCAAATGTCTCCTGTTCACCCATGACTGATATTTTGTCAATATAGCCAATAATGTCTCTCAGTGGAAGTGCACTCACATTTGGAAGCAGGACAAATCCTCAAGGCTGTTTTTCCTAAGAATGTAAAACAACTCAACTCTTTTGTTCCTGAAGCCCAGTCATTTAATGATGCAAAACATCTTGGAGAACAAGAACTAACTCCAAGCAGCATCTGAAGAATCATACACTTTTACTGACAGACGCAAATTCTAGGAGTTATCCATGTCCATTTCAGATCAAATTGATGGTCTCCTTGGAAATTTACAAGAAAATATTTGTGCCTAAAGGAAATTAGTTTTCACTTTAAGCAAAATTTCAGTGAACAATTATAGCTAATGCCTATGTAGTATTTACAATGTGCAGGCATTGTTCTAAGCTATAGACTAATATAATTTATGAGATGGATACCATTGCTGTCCCCATTTTTCAGATTTGGAAATCAAGACCTAGAAACGTACCAGCAGAGGTAAGATTTGAACTCAAACGAATCTGCCACCAGAGCCCAAATGCTTACCCAGAGATAAGAATATGGGACAGCGATGACTAGATAACCGGTATTTTGCCACAAGACCATTCATCTATTTGGGTTTTTACCATTGTCCATCATTTGGACAGAACTGAAATCAAGCTAAAGCAAACCACTAAGAACCCCACATTTAGTTAATACAAGGCTTGTGGTTCATCTTACCTTGTCCAACTTTCTGTGAAGATACACAGCAAAAAGAGCTGACCCAATCATCTGGGTGATAAGAAAAATTGTAAGTAAATACATGAAAATTTTCATACTGGCAGGAGGTCCAGTGGTCACAGACCTGGGAGAAGGTTGGCTGTAAGTTTCTATCATGCTTTGTTAGAGTTGAAATGATATCTTCTGGCCGAGAAGGTGGCAGAGGCAGCATGAGAAGACTGTCAAAGTGGCCACCTTAGTCAGGATTAGTTAAGAGCGCACAATCGTCGCAGCCCACACTTCCTGGAAAATGTGCTTCGTAGTCTTCTCTCCCGGCAAAAAAAGTTACGTAAAGGTTTTTTTTTGTTGTTGTTTCTTAATTATACCCATATCATTCACTTCCAGGCTTTCCCTTTTGTTAGTAAAGAAGAAACAAGTTTCTTCTTCCATATATTCATTCTTGCCTTGAAATGTCATAGACTTCTCAACAGACAATGGCAGTATTTTCCTATCACTGTCTAACTTTTTTTTGGGTTCACCAGTTTCAAGGAAAGTGACAAATTAATCCACCAGCAACAGACTTATTTCAATTTCAATCTTACTAATATCTAGTGGGAACCTGGTATGTGGGAAAACAAACAAATGGCAAGAAAAGTTTGGATTGATTTAATGACTAGTGTGCCACTAGCTAATTGCTTCTCTCAGGTGAGAATCTCAAGACTTTATTTTTTAATCTTTCAATTCAGTGAAACCCCAGCAGTTTTTCAACGTATGACTATAAGGTTCACAGCAAAAGGAAGGGCCGTCAATTATTAGATTTTAGACTGGAAAAATAATCCAAGAAAAATCAATTTTTTCAAGTCTAGTTAGTCAAGAACTAGTCTTGAGGGAAAACAGGCCCAAACTCTGGGATTGAGGAGCAAGTGGGAATATTAGCAAGGATTAGCTAAATTGCCTGTCTACATTGTTGCAATTCATCAGATAATCGCTGATGCGAGTGTAATGGTTCAGAATTCATCAGATAATTGCTGAAGCCAGTGTAATGGTTCAGAATACGGAAAATAGGCTGCAGTCAAGAGAACTGGATTCTAGTCCTCACTCTACCAATACACTGCTATGAACCTTAGGCAAATTGCTTCACCTCTCCAGGTCTCGATTTCCTCATGTCCGATAGGGACAGTGGCACTTGCCTTGACTTTGGCACGAGTTGTTGTGAGGATTGAATAAACATGTGTATGAAAGAGCTTGGAAAAGTATTAGCAATAGACAAACACAAATCTCATCCTGAATTGTGTGGTATTTGTTTAGTCTGAGACATGAGTCTTCTAAACAATTGACAACTCCTTACATACTAGTTAAAAGCAAAACAAAATAAAACAAAAACCAAACAAGCAATAGCATCCTAAAAACCACGATAGTCTAAGCTATAAATTGAGGTATGTAGACTTACGCATTTCAGACTGGGTTATGTGTGGTCTTATCAGATTACCTTCAAAATAAAAGCAACTGTGGAAATCCCTACCCCACATCCCAACCTGGGTTAGCAACCACAATAAAATTGCTTTGGTGAATCCTACAAAATTATTTTGAGAGACAAATAGGAAACGTGACAAGCTGCTCTTATAGGCACTCAGTCTATATAGCTAGCACCTGTTTTCTTCCCCTCCCACGCCCCAGCATCCTGTCCTGGGCCTAGATCTGTATAACTTTTCACTGCATCTGCCAAGTAGGTGGCTTCAGTGCACACGATGAGCTTTGATCAGCCAAGTCAGAAGCTTCGGTTCTTAGACCTTAGTTACATTGAAAGAAAATTATTACCAGAGTCAAAATGCCCTTGAGGATTTCTCCAAGGCCAAGTTTATACAATCATAGAATGCCAGAGCTGCCAGGGCCCTTGGAAGATCAGCTTAGCCCCAAGAACATTGAAGGAACTACCAAGAAGACAATGTCAGGATTTGTTCATGTGATCAACTTCAAGAAAGGGTTGTCCAACCTACCTGTCTCCATTTCCTGATCTCTCACTCAATCTCCAGCCTATTCAAGTCTGACTTCTGCCCACAAGTAGTCCCCTGAAACTGCTCCCACCATTATTAACTGAATAACAACTTTGGCTGAATACACTTTCCACGGCTAGTGACCTCTCTATTATTGTGTTGAACAACCCATCCTCTTTCTCTTAGAGACTTCTCCTTCTCAGAATCCTTTATGTGATCTCCTTTTCCCTTCATCTTCATCTGACTGCCTTAGAACCTAGGAATTCCCTATCCTTACTCTTTTTGTCTTTTCTTCTAATTCTCCATGGGTGAGTCCCATGCACTTTCAAGATTTTCCCTATCACCTTAATTGTGATAAATCCCAAATTTGTGACTGCAGTTCTGAACTTCAGTTTTGTTGTTGTTAAGTGCCATCAAGTTGGTACTAACTCATAGCATTTCAAGACTTTATTTCTTTATTTTAAACCTGTATACATTTTTCCAGTGTTACTGGTGGGTTTGAACTGCCCAACTTGTGGTTAGCAGCCCAGTGATTATCCTGCAACACCACACCAGGACTCTGACTTGTAAGCACCTCTAAATATCTTTAGTTGGATATCCCAGAGCCTTTTCACCGTTGACATAACCAAACTTAACTCAACTCCCACTCCCCACTCCACTTCCATTTAGGGTTCTTTTTATCTTCATGAATGGTACCACCTTTAACCTAGTTGCCCAGGTTAAAGACCTGGGAGTCATCCATTATTGTTCCCTTTCTCTTGCTCCAGATAGCCAAGAAATCCCCAAGCCCAGTGATTTCTTTTCTTCTCTTCCAAACTTCTGGATTGCCACTACTTCTCTCCATCTCTGCTGCCAACACCCTAGTTCGGACCCACATCCCCTTTCTCCTGGATTGCTATTTTGTATCCTCTTAATTGTAGCGCTGTAGGATAACCCACTAATTGCTACTGAGAAACCCTATACAGGGTCACTATGAGTTGGAAGTAACTCGATGGCCCTTAACAAAACAACAACAGTCTTTTGTTTTTTTGTTTTTGTTTTTTTAAAACTTTTTATTGTGAATTATATGATAGTTTACATGGGTGAACATTATCTTTACATTCATCCTATTGTACTTTGTTTCATTGCAATGATCACATTCCCCTGCATGCATCATCAAACACCCAAAGGGTACACTCCACACTCCTGCCTCTTAATTTATCTTCTTGACTTCCTTCCTGCCCCATGCCATCCATCCTTCACACTGCCAGCAGAATGCTAAATCTAAATCTTATAACTGGCTATATTCTCTAATCTGATGTGACCCATTGAGACTCAGGGCCAGATCCAAGCATAGTGACAGAGCGTCTTAGCATGTTCAACATGGATGGGATTCCCTCCAGAGCGGCCTGATTATCCTTCATTACTCCAAGTCCCTTCTTAGTGCGATCTTCTATCTGGTCCACTAGCTTGATACAATAATAGCTATCGTCCCAACTTCCGAACTTTAGTTTCATTTTCTGATTTCTGATTTTGTATCAGATGTCCTTTGTGTCCTTATCTCCTTACCTTATCTCTCTTCCAAGAGCGAGTGACCCGAGCCTGGTGTTGGGTTCTTGTTTAGACCCTCAATTTCCTAATGCTTCCAGAAATGATTCTGAAACTTAGTTTCTAAGAAAGTTGTGAATCCATGAAGTACCTGAATGTGTCTGCAGCTAAGGTAAAAAATATTGGACATCTTTTACTAGTTCACAGAAAGAATTGAGTTAATGGATTGATTGCATTTTCTTACATTTCAGTTTTTCTTAAACAGAATTTTCTTAAACCTCTTTTACCCACTACTGCTTTTCTGGAACGGACTTGATGGAACTTAACAACAACAAGGGATTGATCCATAGCAAATATGTATTAAGAGAAAAACTCAAAACAGTGGACCATACTTCAACAGCTTCTTTTGTGAATCAACTTGTGGTTGCAATTTTATATTGATTAACTAGAACACACAGTTTCTGCTAGTAAAACTTTTTTCCAGTACATATGAAAGATTGAAATACATCAGGATTTTGTTTGTTCTTCAAAGGATCTCACGATTAGTTTCCTGATGTGTCTGAAAATTCTTAACTTGGAGGGTAGAATTTTAATACTTTAGCCCAGCATATGATCTGACCCCTTCTCTCCTTTCTGCCCTAATCTCCCACAACTAACACAGGCATCCACCATATTGAGCTATTTTCATTTGCCTAAATATGATGTGCTTGTTAATGCTGCTCCTTGTGCACATGCTGACCTCCTCTCCTTCTCTTTTTCATCAGTGCTTTAAAGTCATCCTCTCTGTGATGCATTACCTCCCAACTGTGCACTACCATGACATTTGCCACATCATAATTGATTTGTCTAACTTCCTTATTACTAACTCATAGAAGAGAGACAAAAATACATATCTTAAAATTCTCAGAGTTGTTGGGTTCTGATGCATTGTGAGGAAGCTGCAAGATACTGAATTTTCTTTTGGGGGGAGTATAAGGGGATCTCTGTGGAACATTCTAGCCTGGGAGAATAATACCAGCTAGTCTTTCTGGTGCTACAAATCAGAATATATTTGTTTTAAGTTTTCTTCTATTCTTTAATTTCTGTTTCCTCTGGGGTCAGTTCCACTTATTTATTTTGAACCTTCTCCTTCATGTTGATCGATTTCTTCAAAGATTCTGAGCTGTCTGATCATATGTATGAATGCAGAACTATGTTGGCTATTACAGGTAGAGGGCATGGATTTCCCCTGAAGTTGTGTTGATCTATTTTCCCCACAATCCTCTCTCTAGAACAGGAGAGCTTACTGTGAGTTTCAAGTGGGTAGGGCCTGTCAACAAGCAAACTTCCCTTTACGTTATGTGGGTGGAGAGGCAGGAAGGCCAGGGACCCCCACAATTGATAAAGTAAGGAGGCTTTTCTCTGGGGGTGGAGCCCTTTAGAGGGTTTCACTCTTGAGATAATGCTGGTTTTCCTTTTCGTTTCTCATCTGTTGCCTACGTCTCAACACCTTCCTAGAGCCCTCTCCAACAATTTTCATCTGAGAGCAAAGGCCGAATGATACAGCTGACAAATGGTTTGTAGAGGGAAAGGAGAGAAGAAGAAAAGGGCCCACCTATCCCACCTGTTTCCACTGCAGCTCTTTAATGAGCTACCACAATGTTTGCTTCCCAGCCCACCCCTGCTCTTTGCACTGTTCAGAGACGAGTGGTTCTTTGGGAAAACCCACTCTTACCTCTGA